AAAAATTTCTTGGGGTAATTATAGATGACAGAATCAGTTGGAAATCACACATTAATCATGTACAATCCAAAACTATCAATATCAATTGCAGTAAAACAAAGTAAAGCAGGTTCTGGATCAAAAATCACTCCACATGTTGTACTTTTCACTAGTTTTACCATATTTAATTTACTTTAAGATCTGGGGACAAAACTGCAAAAGTTCATTACATTCATTCTCTGTTCTCCAAAAAAAGATCAATAGGAATTATTCACAACGCTGCGTATAGGGATCACACTCATTATTCTTACAGTCAAAATGATTAAAATTCACAGATTTCTTCAAAACAAACAGGATACGGACAACCAGGAAAAGTTGTTGTATTTCAAGCTCTGGAGTAAAGCTACGGTACAGTCTCAATGAGGAACTAAAGCAATGTCCAAACATAAATCAGTTTAAAATCAGGTATAAAGATATGGTTTTCAATGGTTACAGGGATGAAGAAGGGAGTGAATAATCACAGAGTGTTTTGGGGCTAGTAATTATCTTCAGTTTCATTGTGTTGTTATTATTACTTCATTTTTTTCTGAGCTGCTGAAATATATAATTTATTCTTTCCTATTAATTTTTTTTCTTGTTTAAATAATTGATGTACATTTTGAATTGCTTTGGGGTATGACAAAGTAGATGTGTAAATATTTGGAACGCCGGTCGATTATATGTAAGCTTTTGATTTGTGGATAGGGGGTGGGATAAAATCATTTTTTTTCGTCTTCCCACTCCTTTTCGAATATGTAATGGACATTGACAAGAGTTAAAAAGTCTTGGGCTGTAATACATTTTTTTATTGTGTTATTCTAATCACTTTGATTTGTCTACTTGATTCAATTTTCTTGTCGGATGTTCTTTTTTACATAAATCTGAAACAAACACACACACAAAAAAAGGTTAGATTATGATTTCAGCTTTGCACTAATCCTGTCTTTGACAAAAAGGGGCGCAAAATTCTACTTACACTATCCTTCTCCATGCCCTGCCCGTGCACCCACTGTGCTTGAAAATGTGTTTTGCGGGAGTGGCTCTGGACTTTAATTTGACTCTTGTTAGTTTCTCCAACATAGCTAACTCAGGTTTAATCCTGTATCTGTCTTTAAAGGGCCAGCAGGCAACTGTATTGTATTTAGATATCACAGAGGTGTGTTTAATGTTTGATTAGGTACAGGAAGGGTTTGTGTGGTAATACCTCTCTTTGTCTGGAAAAGGGATGGCTGAGTAGATCTCTTCCAGCTTACCCTCAGATACAGCTACTTGATTGCTAGTGTGTGGCAACAGCGCCAGCTTCACCTGGAAGTGAATTTATAGAAATGTTTAACTCTTTCATTATGCATTGACTTTGTAAAGCATGTATTTTGTGTCTGTCTGTTTGTACAAATAAAACAAACGATACATATATACATACATATTATGGTATAGGTTGATTTTTGAAATTTGGACAGAAGGCTAGGTGTTTCCCCCTGCTTCCTGTTTTTATGCTAAACTAAGCTGACCACCAGCTTGACACCAGCATCGAAAAACTGAGAGATAAATTGTGGTATTTCTTTTTTTAATTGTTGAACTATGATATTTATTTAGCCCAACTTTTTAGTGTGTTTTAGCTCCCAAGTTTAGAGCTGATACTGCCACTCTGTGTCAACAAAGCATTGCACTGCTGATAGGTTCAACACGACTCCCATTAAATTAAATCTACACCCACCTCTTCATAGATGTGAGTGAGTCTTTCTCCACAGTTCTGGTAGTGAAGTCTGGTGTTAGAGTCACAGAAGCCCAGCAGAGCCATGCAACCCCGGGGTTTTAAAACCCGACTTGCCTCAACTAGGAACCTCGACTGATCAAACCAGTGGGCTGCTGACGCTGCTGTCAGCAAGTCTACTGAGCCATCTGGAAAAGGAAGGACCTCTGCTACCCCCTTCCTGCAGGTGCAACAGACAAGACACTCTCCAAATACTTCTGGAACGTTATCATGTAAAAGTTTCGCCCACACATACAGAGTAACAAACACACACTCCTACCTGTATGTGACGTTAGGAAACCCTGGCACAGCTCTGGCCTCCTCCAGTTGACACTCGCTAATGTCAATGCCCACCACTTCCTGGAAGTACGGTGCCATTAGCCGGGAATTCTGACCTGTCCCACATCCCAGATCCACTGCCAGCACATGTGGCTCTTCCTTCTGTGGGTGTTAACAGATATGCAGAGATTTTTTGTCAATTATGTTGACTGTTGCAGATTTCTGCTTCATTTACTCAGAATGCCATATTAAAGTGCGTTATGTACACTATTAAACACAAAGTACTGTATATTTACAGTACATGTTGCCATAGCGTACCCTTTTGTTTAGATACTGAAGAATATAGTTCTTGACCTCATCTGGAGGAGTAAATCGATACTTTTGGTAGATGGAGGCATGAGCCTTCCCCTCAAACAGCCGGTGGGACATGGTGGTGTTTCTTTACTCTTCTCTCTCTGTTCTGTTGCCAATTTTGCCTTCTCTGACCTTTGTTCCTCAACAGTTTTCTTTGTTCGTCTTTGTTCTTTTTCACTCTCCGGTCTTGTTTCTCTTCAGTTTGTTTCCTTGCTTCCTTTTAGCCTATGTCTTCTCTCTTGTCTTGTATCTTCTTATCTTCCTGCTTGATCCTTTGTTAAAGCTGTTTTCTACCCGGACAAGCACGCACTTTGCACTCTTGCTAGCATTTAACTCTTCATCCACTTCTTGAAGTGTAGTTTTTCTGCATCTTTTTGATATCTAGCAGGCACACAAGGAAAGAATCACTGCATTAAA